TATATATATATAATTTATATTTTAAAGTGTTGCAAAAACAATAGGGGCCTCCCACCAATTTGGAAGCGAACAAAAATAATAACGAGAGCTGCGCAGAGCTAGTAACTGCCCTCACAGCCCTGGAAACAATGAGCCACTGGCACGTTGGGATAAGTAGCACATTGGAATTTTTTTGAAAAAAAAAATACATCTATTCATAATATATATATATATATATATAATTTATATTTTAAAGTGTTGCAAAAACAATAGGGGCCTCCCACCAATTTGGAAGCGAACAAAAATAATAACGAGAGCTGCGCAGAGCTAGTAACTGCCCTCACAGCCCTGGAAACAATGAGCCACTGGCACGTTGGGATAAGTAGCACATTGGAATTTTTTTGAAAAAAAAAATACATCTATTCATACATTATCTCAACCGTTTATCCTCACGATAGTATGAAGTACTTAAGAATTTATTCCGGTGTTATCTGTGGTCACTTGACTGGAATGTTTGCATTCCACATTTAGGGGTCCTCATCCCCCGCCTTTGAGACAAACCAGGCTCCCCCGTTCTTGGGAATATGACCAGGAAGGAGTTCTCTTTGTGTATTGAGAAGTTTGAAAACTGGCGATAATTGTTATACCCAGGTGCCGCTTAAAGTTTGATTGAAGTGTCACAAGAAGATCAGGTTTGATTTTTATGTGTATGGGCGACACATATTTCTTTCTTTTTTTACTTGACAGTTGTGATAAGCATTTGGACTTGCTGATCAACAATAATAATGAATAATTTCAACACAAACCTAGGAGACTGTTCAATGATTCAATAATATCTTAATCTAGTCTGCATTAAATCGAGAAACAACTGTACGTTTTTGCTGATGCCATCCTCTTACATTTGTACAAAGCAGGATTGAAATAGATTGGTGCAGTGTCTGCTGTGATGCGGATCTGATGCGGTGAAGAAGTAGTTTAGCCAAAAGGTGAAGCTCTCAATTCACCAGTCGATCTCAGTTCCTACCCTAACCTATTGTAATGAGCTTTGGGTTGTGACAAAAATAATGTGATTCTGGATACAAGCAGCCAAAATTAGTTTCCGCAGGTTGCCCGGGCTAAGCCTTAAAGTTGGGATGAGAAGCTCGGTCACCTGGGAGAGACTCGCTGCTCCTCCACATTGAAAGGAGCCAGATGACGTGGCTCAGGCATCTGATGAAGATGCCTCCCGGATGCCTCACTGGTATATCCCTCCAGTAGGAGGCCCAGGGGAGACACATGACACTGGCCAGGGAAGGCCTTGGCATCCCTCCGGAACATTTGGAGAAAAAAAGGATGGGGAGAGGGAAATCTGGGGCTCCCTGGTGAAAATGCTCCCTCCCCAAACCAACTCCAAATAATCGGGAGATAATGGAGGCTGGATAGATGGATGGATGAGGAACAGAAGGATGGATGGTGAGATTTAAATATTTTCTCTTGTAAGATGAGCAATGAGCATTCTCATATCAAGTCTGCAACTGTCATTGAATATGGACTCAAACTGCCAGTTAGCATGTCAATAAAAGGACTGTTCAGGTTCAAACAGGTAGTTGGTCCCACAATTGACACAAATGATCATGGGGCAGAGGAATCAGGTGGAAATCAGGTCTAAAACCGGCTGGCAAATGAAATTTATATTGTTAAGGGGAAGCTGTGCAAATGAACTGAAAATGTTTTGTTTTTTGTTTGTATTTTTTGCTAACAAGTCTTTGTCAAGTGAGGAAAGGTCTGCAATGCTTGACAAACTACTGGAGACCATCAATCCCCCAAACCCCACCCCCGCCCCAAACCAAGAACAATAAGAGAATAGTTGATGATTAAAATATGTACGACCACAGATTTCAAAAGGACATTTTCACAGCCCGCATCTGCCCAGCCACACCACGGACAGCCTTAATCACACATCTGACTCCATCCGCTCCCCCTTGAATATCCATGAGCGGGCAGGCATGGCCGTGGCTAAAGTGGTGCTTAAGCAGTAGGGCTGAGAAAGTAATTTAGAACTATATTTTAGGACATCAAATAAAATGCATTAAGGGTTAATTGGGGCTACCCATGTTTCTGTTTCTGACCGGGGAGGGAGACGGCTCTTAAGGCAACAAAAGAGAAACAAAGCAGCTGGGCCAGATTACCACAAAGAACAAGCATCAAGTGTATTCTTGATACTTAATAATGACTACCACTGGGCGGAGATCAAAAGTGTGGCTGGCTTAGTTAAACAAAACGGGAAAAAAAGGCTGGTGTTCTCCTCAGTGCAACACATGCCATTAAGTAAAATCAAAGGAAGCTGCACTTCAAATGTAATCAAACACCTCTGCATACCCAGAATACGAATGATAGTGTCCCGTCTTTAACCTTCCTGTGTTGACTCTAACTTTGCTTCCTCACAACACCAACCACAACAAATGGCCAGCCAATATTTAGCTTTTGGTTTACACAGCATAAACATAGGCAACATCCACTACATACACACATTCAGCCAAGTATGTTTATTGCTTTTTGTAGAATAGAGAAATGTTTTCATTGCATGCCCCACAATTACAGTATTTGTGTTTGTTTACAATTTTTTTTTCTTTCTATTCAACTTATTCCTAGGCCCCAGGAGGCTCTGAGTGATTTATGTGCGTGACCTCTGGTAAGGACCAGAACTGGCATTTTGTTGTAGGAACTGTTTGCGTGAGTCACTTTGTATCACACTTCCAGACTTTAACAATGTGAGAAGACCAAGGGCTGCATCTTAGAAAACATTTCAATACTTCTTCCTGATGATGTAGATGGTAGGAGCATGACATAAAAAGAGGCAGTAAGGGATGCCATCAAGCTGAAGGAGTCCTATCGGGCCTTTACGGCCTGTGGGACCCCAGAGGGAGCTGATGGGTATCGACTGGGTAAGTGGAACGCAGCTTCAGCGGTCGTCGAGGCAAAATTCGGGCGTGGGAAGAGTTCGTTGAGGCCATGGAACCCGTGGCACTACACGAAAGATTTTCAAAGTGTAATGCTAAATCCATGAAAAACTTCGAGGAAAAAAAAAATCGAGAAACCGTTCATCGCAATATGGATATTATATTGTTTAATAGAACATATAAGCAGTTGTAAAAATTGTGTCCCATATGCTTTAATAGAAAATAGAATTTTACTTCAAAAATTTTGGGTACAACCACATTCTAATCAACTATATACTGTGTGTATATATATATATAATATATATATATTTTTTTAAACAATACCTCAGGCTATGTAGGTCCAGGTCATCTGTGTCAAAGTCCAGGAGGGGCTGCTGTGCATCAGATGGACCCTGAGACTGAAGTACTGAGGAGGAAGATGAGATGACTGTAGTCTGGCCTGAGGGATGAATGGTCTTAAACTGAAATTGGGGTCCCATCCACAGCCGACGATGCGGACCTGTATGTGTCACAATCTCCACCTGTGAATAGAAATGAGTTGAGAAATGTAAATCATGTAAGAACAGAGGACAAATCAAACTGTTGTTCACGACAAAATCATCAGGCAAGATATTAGGGGGAAAGGATTTGATTGGGCAAAACAAAGATTACAAGTTAATAAGCAAGTTCAAACGCAAACAAATGCATCAGAGTTCTGGTAAAGACAGAGAACGAGGAGCAAAGTGGTAATGTTTACTTCAAAATCGGAATACATTTGATTTTCTGTGAAATGTGCATTCAAAACAAGAGGTTTTTTTTTTTCTTTTGGTTCGATGGTATAAAATGAAACATAAATGGTAACTAAACTGGTGAGCAGCTATAAAGAGACATTGCAGCTCGAGCCACATAGTGGTACTCGCGTGTTGGGGTTAGTGGCACGCCGGAATTGGAAAATGGCACGCGCGGTACGGTGAATGACTGGTTAGCATGTCCACCTCACTGTCCAGAGGGTTCAATTACGGCTCTGGCCTTCCTGTATGGAGTTTGCATGTCGTTCCTGTGCCTGCGTGGCTTTTTTCCGGGTACTCCGGTTTTCTTTCATATTCCAAAAACATGTGTGGCAGGTTAATGGAACACTCTCAACTGTCCCTCGGTGTCATTGTGAGTGTGGATGATTGTTTGTCGATAGCCCCGTTCACACGGCAACGTTTGGTCCGACGCAGCTCCGAAACAAATCCAGTCGAGCATTCACACGTGCACATTTGCTCCGGCGTAGCTCCACTAAAGAGCTTATACCGGACCAAATTTGATCCACCTCAGGGAGGTGGTTTAAAAATTTGCTCCAGAGCAAATGCTTGTTTGCGACGCTACGCCGAAACAAATGTGCACATGTGAACGCAGCTGGATTAAATTTGCTCCAGAGCAAAGGCTCGCTTGCGGGGGAGTGGCCTCGCTACGCTCGCTACCAGAC